GTGGAGGCTCTTGGGGGCAGCCTGTCCCCCGCCCGCCCGCTGAAGGAGCCTCTGCTCTACGTCAACCTGGAGGGGGAGGAGCCTGGAGGAGGAGGTGGGGCCGACGGGGGGGGTCAGAGGTCAGGGGGAGGGGATGGAGGCGGGGAACCAGAGCTGGAGCATCCCATGGCAGATCAGAGCGGAGGAAGAGGAGAAAGACTGGCTGATGGTGGGGTCAGGGGTCGCCCTCGCTATCGGGGGAGACTACAGGTACATCATCGGCCCCTGTGGAGCCCCTGAGGAAGAGGAGGAGGAAGGATCTGGAAACAGAGGGGACACGTTACAGGAGGACGGCAGAGACGATGAGGACGACGCCGTCATTAACGTCTGAAAAATCACAGCGCTGCTCTGATTGGACATTGTTTAGTTATCAGAGAGGGGCGCTTGATTTGTGGCGCTGAGCTGCAGCAGGCGGGTGGAGACAGGATGGATTCTCTCTGCTGAAGGTACAGAGCCCGGCACACAATCAGTCCCTCCCATAACTCACTGATACTCCGTGTTCTGCTGGGACTCAAAGCAGGGGGAGTTAAGGCTCACAGAAAGGGTTGATCACCCGAACAGCAGTAAATAATAATAATAATAAGATCAGTGTAATATCATTTATATTACCATGTTTGATAAAATGAACATCATCAGGTCAGTTTGAAATCATAAACCCTTAAGTTGTTATGTTTTGATTTAGGTCCGTACCTCAAATAGCTCATCAGGTCAATATCTTGTTATCATCGTAACAAGTTTGATAATAGAGATATCTGCTCTGCTGATAGTCAATCAGCTCCTTTTCTGTTTCCATTCAGCTCAGTATCCATCAAATCACGTGTAATTCATCTATTTATAAAAAGCTCTTATCCAGAAATGTAAAACGACTCGGCAGGAACCTGTTTCTACGAATGGAAACAATGCACTTTTTGTACAATAACTAAACCTTTTTTGGTCTAACAGTAAATGATTAATTGAACCCTAAATAATGCTTTCACATTGAAAACACAAGAAACAGGACAAATATTAAGGAGCCACCTTATTTTTTTATATTATTAGGAATTTCCCCTTAACAAGGAGCACACTGGATTTAGTTATTTTATTATAATTGACTTGTCCTTGCACGTAAAGGAAAAAGTGAAATACCGTGCAATAGATGGAAGACAATAGTTTAGAAATGAGAGTATGACTAGTCCACTTAAAAGTCAATACATCAACACACAACACATTTTTCATAAAAGCTTCTAAAATGAGTGTTTGTGATAATGATCCTTATGATTTATGATATTCTTGGCCTTTGAACAATGTGAAAATCAGGTCTACTCGATCAGCATATCCGAGACATTTCTCTACGCCTAAAGTATGCTCATGTTTTATATCGTCAACTTCAATAGCCACATGTGATTTCTTTATTTTTTTAGATCGGACTAATAACAGATTTTTTTTTTTAATGTTGACTTTTTCTAAGAATTCTGACTTTTTATTTTATTTTGACTTTTTCTGGGAATTTTGACTTTTTCTAAAAATTCTGACTTTTTTTTTGGTATTCTTATTTTTTTCAGAACTCAGACTTTTTGCAAAAAAAATTAGACTTTTTTTTTGGAATTCTGACTTTTTCTTAAAATTCTGACTTTTTCTTTTGGAATACCGACTTCTTAGATCTCTTAGAAATCTTTTTTTTTATCAGATCCCAAAAACTAAAATCCCATTTGGCCGGTTAACCCTCTCCCCGAACCTTCCCCTCTGAACCCTGGAGACATTGATGCAGCCAGTTCAAATCTACAGCCTAAAGGCAAAAGAGTGGATATATTATATATTCACCAACATATCAAAGTATTCATTTCAGTGCAATAACCTTCTGTCTCAACATTTGACTGGTGAACGTTTGACACTGATGGATGACCCTCTCTGGAAGCACTTCTCATGCATTAAACCATCATTATCTCATTATAATGAAAAACATTCTCAAAATAACTGCTTTGTATATCACACATGTTTTTTCTCGTTAAGTCTATAAGCTTCAACAGCCAGTAAGTATAACTTAAAACCACGTGAACAGACTTTTGTCGAACTGTTAGCGTGTGAATCTTGTTTCATTTGCGTCAGGAGTTCAAGGGATCGTTGATCTTTTCACAGACACTAGCTTGACAATATTTTAGTTTAATTCAACTTTATTCACCTTGATTTTGTGTTTCTGATCAGCGTTATTATTCAGCCTTGACGTGAAAATAATAGAAAAAGTTAACATTATCTCTGAGTCCCAGTCTTTCTGGTTACTAAAGCAATTTGTCACTCAATTGTAATCTGCTTATATTTGGATATGGATTTTTGCTCAAATATTATTACTAAATGTGCTTATTTATCAAATGAGGTGCTTTTCAGTGTCTAACATCACGCTAAATGAAGGTCAGTAACTTGTAAGACATTTGAAGACTGGTTCAAATGTTGGCATTTCTTCTGTTTTGAGGAAGAATTTTTCATTTTAATTTTTAGAGCAGAAACATGACATTATTTATTCATGATTTAAACATTTTTTAGTTGGAAAGATGTCATTTTTTAAGCACAATTGTCAAAACGGCAAGAGTTGTAATGTGAACATATGCAGTCATTTTGTCGTCTGGTACAAATCCTGATTTTTTTTAATTGTTGGCCAAAAACACAAGCACTTAGAGCTACTTTAATGTATTAGCGTTGCAACGATTATTTGATTACTATGAATAAATCCTCTTTAAATTAACTGATGAAATTATTAATCATGTGTTGTCGCCCTAAAACGTAATGTTTCTACTATTTTCATAGAAATGATTTATCGAAGTTTCAAATAATCGTTGCAGCACTAATTACATTTAGGCGTGATTTTCATACTCATTGCAACTAACTTTTAGGGCATTTTGTATTTAAGTTTGTACTGTGCATTTCACCTAATAGATGTGTGTTTAATACATGCACAGTGAACAGAGTGGGGGGCATTAGGGGCCCACGGCACCATTACGGCCCCTGCAGTGTGTTGATCCGGCCCTGTTGTAAATAAAGTTGAGCATATTTGAATTCCGCTGCTCTAAAATGACTCACTTGGACTTTTCCAGACTCTCTAACATTGAAATAAAGCTGTTAATGTTTTTAATTACTTGAAGCATGCCATGGGAACACTGTACACCCTTATGTCTTAACTATAGGATGTATAGAGATGTAATTATGTATGTAGAAATCTGGACGTAATGTGGGTTTATAGCACTGACTGTAAAACAGTTTATTTTCCGCCCTGATAATGAAATCAAACTGTACCTCGACTTGTCTGTCTGCACCTCGACTTGTCTGTCTGCACCTCCACTTGTCTGTCTGCACCTCGACTTGTCTGTCTGCACCTCCACTTGTCTGTCTGCACCTCGACTTGTCTGTCTGTACCTCGACTTGTCTGTCTGCACCTCGACTTGTCTGTCTGCACCTCGACTTGTCTGTCTGCACCTCGACTTGTCTGTCTGCACCTCCACTTGTTCTGTCTGCACCTCGACTTGTCTGTCCTGCACCTCGACTTGTCTGTCTGCACCTCGACTTGTCTGTCTGCACCTCCACTTGTCTGTCTGCACCTCGACTTGTCTGTCTGCACCTCGACTTGTCTGTCTGCACCTCGACTTGTCTGTCTGCACCTCCACTTGTCTGTCTGCACCTCCACTTGTCTGTCTGCACCTCCACTTGTCTGTCTGCACCTCGACTTGTCTGTCTGCACCTCCACTTGTCTGTCTGCACCTCCACTTGTCTGTCTGCACCTCCACTTGTCTGTCTGCACCCTCCACTTGTCTGTCTGCACCTCGACTTGTCTGTCTGCACCTCGACTTGTCTGTCTGCAACCTCGACTTGTCTGTCTGCACCTCCACTTGTCTGTCTGCACTCCACTTGTCTGTCTGCACCTCGACTTGTCTGTCTGCACCTCGACTTGTCTGTCTGCACCTCCACTTGTCTGTCTGCACCTCCACTTGTCTGTCTGCACCTCCACTTGTCTGTCTGCACCTCGACTTGTCTGTCTGCACCTCCACTTGTCTGTCTGCACCTCCACTTGTCTGTCTGCACCTCCACTTGTCTGTCTGCACCTCCACTTGTCTGTCTGCACCTCCACTTGTCTGTCTGCACCTCCACTTGTCTGTCTGCACCTCCACTTGTCTGTCTGCACCTCCACTTGTCTGTCTGCACCTCGACTTGTCTGTCTGCACCTCCACTTTGTCTGTCTACTGCACTCTCGACTTGTCTGTCTGCACCTCGACTTGTCTGTCTGCACCTCGACTTGTCTGTCTGCACCTCGACTTGTCTGTCTGCACCTCCACTTGCCTGTCTGCACCTCCACTTGCCTGTCTGCACCTCGACTTGCCTGTCTGCACCTCCACTTGTCTGTCTGCACCTCGACTTGTCTGTCTGCACCTCGACTTGTCTGTCTGCACCGCTCATGTCGGGATATCAAGGGACCGTGTGTTTTAATGTACCGGACGTTTTGTATGTTGATGTAGTCACACACTGAAGTCCTCACTTCTCTGTCTACCACTGACTTCAGATCTGTACAGAGATTATTTGTGAGACTCGTGACGAATGAATAAAGTGTTATTTGTGTCACATTGATTTATTTTGTATTGTTTCACACTGTTACCGTTAACTTGAATCCACTGCAGTCAGCTGGTGAAGAGACGAGAAACACAATGTTACAAGGATACAGTGATATAAGTGTCCTTTAGTAAATGTTCTTCATAAATACAGAGGTGGAAGAAGTACTCAGATCTTGTACTTGAGTAGAAGTACTCAGATCTTGTACTTGAGTAAAAGTAGAAGTACTCAGGTCTTGTACTTGAGTAAAAGTAGAAGTACTCAGATCTTGTTCTTGAGTAAAAGTAGAAGTACTCAGATCTTGTACTTGAGTAAAAGTAGAAGTACTCAGATCTTGTACTTGAGTAAAAGTAGAAGTACTCAGGTCTTGTACTTGAGTAAAAGTAGAAGTACTCAGATCTTGTACTTGAGTAAAAGTAGAAGTACTCAGATCTTGTACTTGAGTAAAAGTAGAAGTACTCAGATCTTGTACTTGAGTAAAGTAGAAGTACTCAGATCTTGTACTTGAGTAAAAGTAGAAGTACTCAGATCTTGTACTTGAGTAAAAGTAGAAGTACTCAGATCTTGTACTTGAGTAAAAGTAGAAGTACTCAGGTCTTGTACTTGAGTAAAAGTAGAAGTACTCAGATCTTGTACTTGAGTAAAAGTAGAAGTACTCAGATCTTGTACTTGAGTAAAAGTAGAAGTACTCAGGTCTTGTCCTTGAGTAAAAGTAGAAGTACCAGAGTGTAGGAATACTCTGTTACAGTAAAAGCATTCAAAATGTTCAAGTGAAAGTAGAAAAGTATTCTCATCAAAATATAGTGAAAGTAGTGACAGTAAAAGTAGTCATTGTGCAGATTGGTCCATTTCAGAATAATATATATGATATGTTTTATAATGATTGATCATGAAAGTGTTCTCAAAGCTGGTAAAGGTGCAGCTAGTTTGAATGACTTTGTATACTGCAGGGTAGCTTGTGGATTTACTCCAGGTGGAACTAAAGTCTGATTTAACACACAAGTTACTAAAGGTATTAAATACATTTAGTGGAGTAAAAAGTACAATGCATATATCTGCTACTTTTGGAAAATGTTAATTAATCTGAACCCTAATTTACCTTTTCTTGCCCTGAACGCTACTTTATTTTTTATTAATTTGATTTCCCCCATGTATTTAATGTTATTTTCACGTCACCTACCTCGTCTTCAATTATCTTGTGTAATATTTTTAATATGTTGATTAATGTACACTGTCCCTTGTTTTAAATAAATCAATTCAATGAACTATTCCATACTTCTTTTATGTAACATGAGTCTGAATACATCTAGATATACACTCTCTTAAAAAGGTGTTTATGTCAATGCTGTTATTATTTTCTCAGCACGTGTTTCTTGTTTGATTCCTGGGATAATCTGAGTCACTGCGCGAGTCGTCCTACAAGAGCTCTCTCTCTTCAGGCAAGAAGGATCCGGAAACCCTCTCACCATCATGAGTCTCCAGAGTCCTCCGTGTCACGGTGTGGGACACATTCACCAATTTTAGGGCTATTTTTGGCGCGATAAACAAATAAATATGTCATAAAAGACCAGTCAGTAGAAGACTTAAGACCTTTTAATATACTGCTACAAGTCTAAGTCATGCATTCTTAATTGTATTCTTAGTCTCATGTAATAATCATGAAAATCTAAAGGATAAAACATTATGGACACACTGCAGCCAGTCTATTTAGCTGGTACACTATATTATATACAATGCGGTCAAATGTTAGCATGTTTGCATCTGAATGTATTTCATGTCGTACAGTGCTTGATTACATCACCTCAAACGGAAAAAAAGAAGCTATTTTGCTCTATATAAATACAAAGGACTAAACGCACACACACACCTCTGCAAGACG